CCTATTTTTTCCCGTGATTATCTTACAATTGCATTTTTTTACTTACATCATCTCAGCATTAATTCTTTACTTTCCACGCTTATTGTCTCATATGCATTTTTTATCACGATTGGAACTTTGAATTTCACAAAGTGATTTTATTCTCACAAATGCAATTCTATTTATGTAAATTGCAACTTTATTTATGTAAACTTTATTTCACAGTAAGATGTTTTATTCCCCTGATTATCTTACAATTGCATTTTTTTTATTTACATAACTTTATCTCTGCATTAATTCCTTACTTTCCACACTCATTGTCTCATGCAATTTTTTTTTATCACAATTGGAACTTTGAATTTTACAAACTGATTTTATTCTCACAAATGCAATTCTATTTATGTAAATTGCAACTTTGTTTCCCACACTGTTTTTCTTAGTGTAAACTTTATTTCACAGTAAGATGGTTCATACTTTGAGATGCAATCAGAATTTAGCAAAGACACATTGATCACTGTTTTTGAACTTTCTTTAAAAAAAAAAAAGGAAATCCAAATCCAAATGACAAACTTCATAAATAGATATTTTTCCCAACAATACAAGATGAGCGGCCACTTTTGCAAAGTTCGCGAGAGGCCGAGGCTCAACCGGAGGTCGCCTCAAATCCCCTCGCTCCTCGTTGATCCAGAGAGATCCCACCACGCCGGAGCCTCTGAGCGGCTGACACCAGCCAAATTAGACAACCCACATCTTCTGGTACAGCTCTTATTGTCAGACCATTGTAGAAAAGAATGAGAGCTAAACTACGCGAGCCTCGCGTGGCCGTCACGCCGGAGGCAGTGCAGCGAGAGGACAGCTTCACAATACTCGCTAACTGAGCTATGACAGGCTAATTATTGGCCCACTGTTGTAAAATTCTCTCTACATAGGTCACTTGGACAGTGTAATTAAAAATGCATTACAGATTCTTTTTATTGAAGCAATTAAATCAAAAAAGCAAAAAGTAATTAAGCGCCGAGGTAATGATAGTGTTAGTCAACAACGTTTATTTGAGAGATGAGCTGTGTTTGCTCAGCCTCTTAACGCAGTGCGCCGTTGTATTTATAGCCGGCGATTTGATGAATGTGTCACGCAAGCCTTCAGTAAGAGCCAATTATGTTGATAATGTCAAATTTTGAGCAAAATTACTTTTATGGCTGTATTGTCATCTAGGAGGTAATTGGAGGAGCGGGCTCTGAGCACGATTCAAATCGTGAAGTGTACTTTAGCGTATTACGCCATTTGAAAATACTGCCGTTCCATTTGTGCCACCAGGTTTATAATTACATTAAATTGCTTGTCTTATCAGCACTTAAAGAGCCGGGATTATCAGAGTCGGGGCTGTTCCGGCCTTGCCAAATACCTCGCGGGCGTTTGCCCACAGCCCGCGGGAAGAGAGGATGGAGAAGAAAGAAGATAATATTGTAAGGTTAAAAACCACAATTTCCTCTTTAAAGAGGGTTCTGTGTGGAGGAGAGTCATCATATTAAAGCATCGCACAAAGCTTTGGGAGGTAAATCAGTCTGACTTTGAGTGTGGGAGGCATTAACATCCACTTGACTTTGAGTGTGGCTGGATCTTGCTGCCAACGTATACATGAAGCTGACACATCAGAGCCCCACATCTCTGTTATTATGTCAGGTAACTGAATTCTGATGATATGGAAATGCCGAGAGGCGGCCGGATCGTCCAAGCTGGCCTAGTTAGCATATGGAACCGGTCCTCGCGGTCCTGGGCCGCCATTAGAATTCATCATGCGCGCCGTGGCGCAACGGAAATACTAATGTCATTGTCAGGTGTGTGTGTGTGTGTGTGGGGGGGGGCTGTACTGCAGCTATTAAGACAAAAAAGCTTCAAACATTCACGGTTCTCAAAGGTTCAGAGAAGTGTGTTCCAAAGTCACACTGTAAAAATGTTTTTTTTTTATTTGTTACACTATAATCCCGTATTTTTTACGGAAAAACGCTGGCAACTTTGGTTGCCAGAACAATTCTGTAAAAAATACATTCAAACTGTAATCACCTTTACAGTAATAAATTGTAATTCTGTAAAAATTACATTAAAACTGTAAGCACCTTTACAGTAATAAATCGTATTTCATTTTCTGAAATCTGTTGATATACCAACCTTTTAAAAAATTGATTTCCGTTTTGTACCATTGTAATACACTGACAACCATCAATCATCACAGTAGTGATGAGAGTTACATTAGCAATCAAAAAAAGTTGTCAGAAGTTGTCTAAAAGGTTACTTATATAAAAATACTTATATAAAAATCTGCAAAGTGTCATTCACACAAACTTTAAACACCATCATGGTAACAGACGTGAAATTAAAAAATGCAATAAACATTAATTGAACAACATTTTATCTAACATAAAACCCTAATGTACACATTATAAGGAAGCATAGTTATTTCAACAAAAATACATAATATGTGAAGTGTCACGCAGGGAATTGTGGGAACGTTAATTTATGGTTTTTCACTGTAAATTATACAATGAGTTGTTCTTTTTCACTTTCAAAAACTGTAAATGTAACAGTATTTTACAGTAAAATTATATCACAGTTATTATATAGTACGGAATCTTTCTGTTAACCAATTAACAGTTTTTAACAGTCTGTTACCGTTAAAATTACGATTATTTTTTTAACAGCGTAATTTTAAAGTTTTTGTGAAAAATGAAAAATATCAACTTGTGATTTACCCGTAAATTGACATTTCCAGAATTCCCTGCATTCTCAGTAGAAGAAACATCATTTTAGGTTTAAAAAAAAACAAAACAAAGAGAGCACACGCCATACCTCTCCTCACTATTTCAGTGAACGGTTCTTAAAAGTATCGTCACTTAATGAAATACATTTTATAACTGTAAATATAAGTTCAATCTGTAAAATCTAAAATGGTGCAACACACCTGAAGTCTTTATTCATTTGTTCACTATACGTTTTATCATTTTATCCTCAAGGCACACATTTGGTGCATCGACCATTCTTGTTCCCTCTTAGGTAAAACTGTGGGCATCATGTACTGTGCCTGCAGCAACTAGAAGTCCTTGCGTTGAATCTTAATAGTTAAGAAATATATAATATAACAGAGGAGACTAGGGTTGATTTTCATGCTTTTTTTTACTGCAGTGAGTGCTCAGAGTAGATTTAAGTACATTTTTGTATGTGCAAAACCCTCAAAACACACACAACACACACACACACACACACACACACACACACACACACAAAGCTCCATGAGAGACAACAGGTCTGCTCAGCTCTATTGTTATGAACCTTTGAATTGTCGTTGAGACAATCAACAGTAGAGGGCAGCTTGAATACACAAATACATACTTCTATCACTTCCACACACACACACACACACACACACACACACACACACACACACACACACACACACATCTTCGTTCATGTCTGCTGTTCTCCAGAAACATCAACATTTACATGAAGGCACAGTGATTGACGTAAACATTCCTACTATAAAGTATCCAACTTAAATTATGAGACAATACTAAATTGTATAAAGTTCCTTGGCTAGAGCAATTTTCAAACTGTTATTGTGTGCAATCTATTTCAATGTGGTAAATAGACAACACTTTCCACCCTGTTAGTCTTTTAAAAGCCAATTCCCCATTGACATCATCCTACAGGAAGTGACATTATTCTGGAGGGAGATCAACAGCACAAACTATAAGCAAAGGATTTGGCTAATTCTGTGGTGCTTGTTGGTTTGTGTCTCTCTAAAACCTAACCTTACTTAATTAAAATGAGCTATTTTTTAGTAAATTGAGCAAGCAGCAAAACAAGCACTTTTTTGTAAGAAAGAATAGTTGGATGGATCATTTTTGTTTGTATAAATGAAACTGGCCAGGGGATTTCTAGCTCCCATTATGCTTTATATGGGACTGGGAGAGTAAATATTGAAATTAAATGTTGTTTTGAAGATGACAGTAGATGTTTTCTATTGAAATTTGTTGTTAGTGTTTAAGCTTTAGTTATGTGTGGGATTTAGAAGACATTTCTGTTGTGATTTGTGGGTTTGGATCTTGTGCTTAGAAGTAGATTTAGTGAGATGTATTTTCTTTTTTATGAGCTTTAATGACCATAGGCTGTACACTACTGTTCAAAAGTTTGTGGTCATTTAAAAAAAGGAAGAAAAAACTTTTGTTCAGCAAGATGCATTCAATTGATCAAAAGTGACAGTAACCCCATTTATAATGTTACAAAATATTTGTGTTTTTAAATAAGTATGTTCTTTTTAACTTTTGATTAATCAAAGAATCCAGAAAAAATGTTTCACAGTTTCCACAAAAATATGAATCAGCACATTTATTGTCAACATTTATAATAATGTTTAGCATATTAGAATATGTGACACTGAAGACTGGAATTAAGTTGTAGGCCTAATATTCACAATATTACTGTGTTTTTGATCGTTAGTGAGCATTTTCTATCAACCCAACCCCAACCTTTTGAACTGTATTGTCCTTAATTACAACACAGTCAAATTAGTACAAGTTACTGTAACTATTGGTTCATGTGCTATGGTAATTATGAACACCCTCATGTGGTATTTTCCACTGGGCAACTCGTAGAATATTTTGATGCACGTGTTGCCGAGATGAGATAACCTTTGACATTTTCAAAATGGTGGAGAGCAACGCGAGAGTCGTGAACATGGTGAATGGTAAAAATACTAATCATGATCTAGAAAATACAGCATATTATTTACGTTTGAGTTTTGATAAACATTTGCTTGCTGTTGCACATGACTTAAGCAATCAAAAATAGTTTTAGCTAAATAACAGATCTCCATCTACATCTTTTTACCACATTAAGACGAACAAAAGCATATTTTACATAGCACGTGAACGCAGTGTTTTGAGCGCGCGCGCGCGCAGCAAAGTGGAGACGTGCACGCGCGCGGCTCAAGATGAATCTGCGCGTGTGTGTTTGCGCGCTCCATCAATGTCAGGCGCCTGGCGGTGGTCTTCCTTTCTCTACGAAACGGCTACCAACTGCTGACCAGAATTATCCTTCACGAACAATCCCACGGCTTTAAATAAACAGAGCACTCAGTGCCTTCAAAGTGCAGCCCATTCATCTTTAAGAATGTGAGTCACTTTTTCACTTTCTGTGAAGGCCGCCATTTTTAACAGCTGTCGTCCCTATGTGTCGTCCTCATCATATATTTCGCGCTCAGAGTATGCGCGGGAAGATAATGTAATTTTTTTGAACAAAGGAACTCCGTAATGGACACCATTTACTGTTGTTTTACAAGTGTCTTGACAAAAGAACATTTATTTTAATCAAATTTAAGAAAATCGTCCCTCTTCTCGTAGCCTATAGCCTATAATGATTTTTTTTTGTGAGGAGACAACTGGAGCACAGGTATGAATGAAAGTAATATGTCATAAAGACGTTGTTGTGGTTGTTTTTAAAGGTAAGAATATCAGTAACACTTAATCTTTGATAACTTAGCTAATACAAATATAAATGTTAATTGTTTGGTAATGTTAGTTTACTTGACAGTGCATTAACTAATGTTAAAAATACAACTTTTGATTTTAATAATGTACTAGTCCTCAAAATATTGATATTAACATTAACTAAGATTATTAAAGAAGTATTGTGAAGTAGTAAGTGTTGGAGAAGTATTGTTAATTCTTCGTTCATGTTAACCCTAGTGAAAAAAGTATACTTCATTGTTGAAATTCCCTTTTTCAATAGATATCTTAGTTTTAATAAATAATATTTTCCTGGTGAGTGGTCAGTTATACAGAGTTACCCTGGTAATTTTCCATTCATATTTTTCTACTGAATGCCACAACTTACCAATCAAATGTGTATTTTGTGAGTGTTGTATAATATCATATTTTTAGTATATCACAAACTTGTGCTTTTAAAACCAATTTATTATTATATATATATATATAATTGTATTTTTTTAGCAATTGTTTTAATATATATAAGTAACTGATTCATAAATCATCCATAAAATGACACTTTACACAAGTTTAGACATTGTGTAGGTTACATTGATTTAAAGAAGAGCCATATCTAAACTTAAAATAGCCTGTCTGTGAATTTTATTAACTAATTGTGCTTGACGCATGTGAAATAAAAAACACTTAAGCCTGCGAGAAGGTAAAAGATTGTGTCTGTGTAATTTGACTGGTGTAACAATAATAGCTGGTTTTAAAGTCTTACTGTAATAGAGACACGATTGATTGGATAGCCCCAGCAGCCATTAGTGAGGAGGTGCTGAGGTAAAATGATGGAGCTCCCCCCATGCAGAGGCCCTCGCTGTGGGGTGGGATGATCCCTGCGAGGGGGTAGCAGGGCCAGCGATGCTACATCTGATGGCAGTTTGAGAAACTACAGGAGGGATCTGTGTTAATTAGGCATTTTTCAGCACACTTGGCTCAGCCGGGCTGTGATATTATTATTCGAATTTACTGGAGCATTTTATCTAAAAAAATTCAGTTCAACATGAAATCAAAACTGACCCTATTTACTTTTTATAGTGCATATTCCTGGTTTTATTGTGAATGATTCATCGTACGTACATGTTAGTCTGTGTATAAAATGTTCGTTGATTAATTTTTAATGACTTTCTCCATTTCTGAAACAGCTTGCTTCCCATCTGACGTCACACATTTCTCCTGCTTTTCAACTTCTTCCAGTCATCAGGCTCTATTCTGGTACGTAATGCCCATTTTTTACAATCCAGTAAATTGCAGATGGATAAATTTAAGTCTCAGTTTTTTTATTATTTATAATATCCTGTTTTACTCTTGAAGTACTTTAAAGTCAATCATGCAATTAAAAATATTTAAAGTAACATATAAAACTTAATGAAACTCAGTGTACTATTATACTTCCTGTACATGCCAGACATTAAAGGGCAACTATTATGCAAAATTCACTTGGCTTTTGAACGTAAATGTGTGTTGGCAGTGTGTGTACACGACCACTCTATAATGCTAAAAATCCACCACCTTCTTTTTTTATATTATCCATGAACATAATAGTGTCTCAAAATGAGGCATTGTGTGTGAATGGCTCTGAATGGGTGAAAAAGTGCATGGTCCATCTAGCGCTTTTACATAGAAAATAATGGAAACGCTTACTTTTCTTAAAGAGTAACTAAACACTAAACCAACTTTTTTTAGTTAATGATCTGTAAGAATGGATCTTTATTAATACCAGTCATTGATTCGAGTAACTTTTTTGACATTTGTTTATAAACTGTTTTATTTCTACAATATATGGTGTAAAAACGTCTTAGTGCTGCCCTCTTCAGGTTGAACGGTGGCTACTGCAGTTGAATTTTCCTTTTGGATGTTCCGCACTTCGTGACGTATGCAGGTTTCAGCTCAAATAAAAACCATCTTGTGTCGTCAAAACCAGGAGTTGGAATTGAGAGTATTGAAAACTATCAGGATAGAGTGTTTTAGCATCTATTTCATCCCCTCTATCTCCGCTGGGGTCTGCCCACTTTTTCAGCATTTTCAAATATTGCCAGTGGGTGGAGTCAGGCTCTGACCAGGGGTTTAGTTACCCTTTAATTATTCACAAAACAGCACAGCCTCTCATACCTTATTGCTTACATATGTGAGGTATTTTGAGCTGAAACTTTACAGACACATTCTGGGGTCACCTAAGATTTCTATAACATTTTGTAAAAAAAATAAAGTTTAGAACCGAAAATTTAGAACCATTTATGGCACTTTTCCACTGCTGGTACGGCTCAGTATGGTTCGGCTCGGCGCTGCGCCGTTGGGCTCGCTTCACTTTTCCACTCCATGGTACAACTCGGCACGGCTTGGTTCGCTTTAGCTCGGTTTGCTTTTCCACTGCAGTTTAAAGTGGGTGGGATTATAGTCCGATCGTTATAGTTTATCTGCTTCTCGGCAACCAACGAGAGGAACATCTGCACTTCGTCCACTGACCACGATTCAGCCATTTCTTTTTTGGAAGTTTTCTTTCTTTTTTCTTCAAGCAAGTAGTTTTAAAACAGGTGCTACAGCGGTGGCTGTTACTGGCTATTTAATAAAAGCCGTACCGAGCCGTACCGTACCATGCAGTGAAAAAGTGCCACAAGTGAGCCGTACCGTGCCGAGCCGTACCGTACCATGCAGTGGAAAAGTGCCACAAGTGAGCCGTACCGAGCCGTACCGTACCATGCAGTGGAAAAGTGCCACAAGTGAGCCGTACCGAGCCGAGCCGTACCATGCAGTGGAAAAGTGCCACAAGTGAGCCGTACCGAGCCGTACCGTACCATGCAGTGGAAAAGTGCCACAAGTGAGCCGTACCGAGCCGTACCGTACCATGCAGTGGAAAAGTGCCACAGTGAGCCGTACCGTACCATGTAGTGGAAAAGTGCCACAGTGAGCCGTACCGAGCCGTACCGTACCATGCAGTGGAAAAGTGCCACAGTGAGCCGTACCGAGCCGTACCGTACTATGCAGTGGAAAAGTGCCACAGTGAGCCGTACCGAGCCGTACTGTACCATGCAGTGGAAAAGTGCCACAGTGAGCCGTACCGAGCCGTACCGTACTATGCAGTGGAAAAGTGCCACAGTGAGCCGTACCGAGCCGTACTGTACCATGCAGTGGAAAAGTGCCACAGTGAGCCGTACCGTACTATGCAGTGGAAAAGTGCCACAGTGAGCCGTACCGAGCCGTACCGTACCATGCAGTGGAAAAGTGCCACAGTGAGCCGTACCGTACCATGTAGTGGAAAAGTGCCACAGTGAGCCGTACCGAGCCGTACCGTACCGTGCAGTGGAAAAGTGCCACAGTGAGCCGTGCCAAGCCGTACCGTACCATGCAGTGGAAAAGTGCCACAGTGAGCCGTACCGAGCCGTACTGTACCATGCAGTGGAAAAGTGCCACAGTGAGCCGTACCGAGCCGTACTGTTCCATGCAGTGGAAAAGTGCCACAGTGAGCCGTACCGAGCCGTACCGTACCATGCAGTGGAAAAGTGCCACAGTGAGCCGTACCGTACCATGTAGTGGAAAAGTGCCACAGTGAGCCGTACCGAGCCGTACCGTACTATGCAGTGGAAAAGTGCCACAGTGAGCCGTACCGAGCCGTACCGTACTATGCAGTGGAAAAGTGCCACAGTGAGCCGTACCGAGCCGTACCGTACTATGCAGTGGAAAAGTGCCACAGTGAGCCGTACCGAGCCGTACTGTACCATGCAGTGGAAAAGTGCCACAGTGAGCCGTACCGAGCCGTACCGTACCATGCAGTGGAAAAGTGCCACAAGTGAGCCGTACCGAGCCGTACCGTACCATGCAGTGGAAAAGTGCCACAAGTGAGCCGTACCGAGCTGTACCGTACTATGCAGTGGAAAAGTGCCACAGTGAGCCGTACCGAGCCGTACCGTACTATGCAGTGGAAAAGTGCCACAGTGAGCCGTACCGAGCCGTACCGTACCATGTAGTGGAAAAGTGCCACAGTGAGCCGTACCGAGCCGTACCGTACTATGCAGTGGAAAAGTGCCACAGTGAGCCGTACCGAGCCGTACCGTACTATGCAGTGGAAAAGTGCCACAGTGAGCCGTACCGAGCCGTACTGTACCATGCAGTGGAAAAGTGCCACAGTGAGCCGTACCGAGCCGTACCGTACTATGCAGTGGAAAAGTGCCACAGTGAGCCGTACCGAGCCGTACTGTACGATGCAGTGGAAAAGTGCCACAGTGAGCCGTACCGAGCCGTACCGTACCATGCAGTGGAAAAGTGCCACAAGTGAGCCGTACCGAGCCGTACCGTACCATGCAGTGGAAAAGTGCCACAGTGAGCCGTACCGAGCCGTACCGTACCATGCAGTGGAAAAGTGCCACAAGTGAGCCGTACCGAGCTGTACCGTACTATGCAGTGGAAAAGTGCCACAGTGAGCCGTACCGAGCCGTACCGTACCATGCAGTGGAAAAGTGCCACAGTGAGCCGTACCGTACCATGTAGTGGAAAAGTGCCACAGTGAGCCGTACCGAGCCGTACCGTACCGTGCAGTGGAAAAGTGCCACAGTGAGCCGTGCCAAGCCGTACCGTACCATGCAGTGGAAAAGTGCCACAGTGAGCCGTACCGAGCCGTACCGTACCATGCAGTGGAAAAGTGCCACAAGTGAGCCGTGCTGAGCCGAGCCGTACCATGCATTGGAAAAGTGCCACAGTGAGCCGTACCGAGCCGTACCGTACCATGCAGTGGAAAAGTGCCACAGTGAGCCGTACCGAGCCGTACCGTACCATGCAGTGGAAAAGTGCCACAAGTGAGCCGTACCGAGCCGTACCGTACCATGCAGTGGAAAAGTGCCACAGTGAGCCGTACCGAGCCGTACCGTACCATGCAGTGGAAAAGTGCCACAGTGAGCCGTACCGAGCCGTACCGTACCATGCAGTGGAAAAGTGCCACAAGTGAGCCGTACCGAGCCGTACCGTACCATGCAGTGAAAAAGTGCCACAGTGAGCCGTACCGAGCCGTACCGTACCATGCAGTGGAAAAGTGCCACAAGTGAGCCGTACCAAAACGTGCCATACCATACCATGCAGTGTAAAAGCGCCATTAGAGTCGAGTCTGTTGAGAGCATTTTTGATGACTTTCATCTTATTGCTGGAGGTGGGACGTCACAGTCACCTGTGGATGAGGAGGGACAGTGATTTAATTGCCTGTTAGTGGGATATTATGCAAAGCAGCGAGCGTCTCCTCCATGCCAAATGCCTCATGCTCGTTGGCCTTCGACAGCTACAAAAACGTGATTTCTTTTTCCTCCCCGACTCTTGTCAATTTACCAGACCGACTTCCGTGCACGTTTTGTTTAATGGTTAGAGATAATGCAGCACGGGCTCCGTTATATTAAGCTAAATGAAAAGAGCATGGATTCATACCACACAGAAATTAAACTGCAATATGACAGCCATAAATCACCTTAAAAAGGAACCCACCTGGAATACCTCTTGATTAGGAGTTAAATAAAATGACCCAGATTTCTAGACCTTTAGTCAATCTCATATGAAAGTAGGCGCTCAGATCTTTTCCCTCCCCCCTCCTCCCTTTTCCTGCTCGAAACAGTCCTCGATCCAAATACGCACTTATTAAGTTCCCTAAGTTCAATTTGAAATGAGTTTCTAATTAACAAGTAAAGCCAAAGCTTTAAAATGTCACATTTATTGTATTGCTATATCTCTGAAATTCAGAACTGAGGCAGAGTTCTACGGCGCCGTTGATAAGAGGCTTACACGGGCCGAATCTCAACGCTGATCACTCCGCTAACGACTTTGGTGGCCACTAGTTAAATTGGTTTCACCCTCATATTTGGGCCCTTTCGGAGAGATATCGTTTTTCAATGGTGGTAAGCAGTTTAGCTCATCTTACAGGCGGAGGCCGATGCAAATTAACTCCGTTTCGGCCTGTTTTGTTTAATGTCGAACATTACGCGTTTTATGAAAATCTACATTCAGCCCACCCGCCACGTTATTTAAGCTTAGCTTAGACACACCTATCTTCCTGCACGTTTGGTCTTTAAACCCTCATTGCATATCAAGGACACCGGTACACAGTATCTGATAATGCCATGCATTCATTACATTAATGAATCTAATATGAATAAGTGTCCCCCCATCAAGCCGTGCTCATTAGCATAGTCATTAATATTAATATCAATGCAGGTTTGTGTTAAGGCGAAGGCTCTGCATTC